AAGGGTGGACCCAAAACACCCCAAAAACTGCCGTGACTCAAGCAGACTTGGGACCTTGAAGTGAGGCGCGATGGTTGGCTTGACAAAACATGAGCTTAAACTGATGCCTCTAGCTTTGGTCTGGTGCCTGACCACCTACATACATATATAAACTGTGAGCTAAAACCCAGTAAATAAATATGTAAAGATGTTAAGAATGATGTCCTTACAGTCTTTAAAACAATCGATTAGCACTAAAACATTTTCAATCAATATCATTTGTCAATCAATCATTCAATTCGATCAAGTCGATCCATCATATTCATAAGTCATACGTGGTACATCCAATAGCAGCAATACACTAGGTCTTAAAAGACCGAACAATCAATTGATGGCCATCATACAATAACAATAGTTCCAAGATTTGGAACTGACAGAGATCTCTGTAAAAACAACGATATCATTAACAATAACAATCACAATATGCTATGGATGCCACGAATACAATTCAAAATAGGATCATCATTCAAACGATAAAAAGTATCATTTTCAGAAAGCAATATGATTTAGCAATCTGAAAATAAATACGATTGAACATATCTTTGCAACGTTGTTACTTATAGATTACTGGGCTATAGGCAGGCTAATCAGCGTCCTCGGGTGCCAACCCTACACAGTTACAGAATGAACACACACTAAATTATACACTTGGGATTAATAATTTAGCCCCTAACTTGACTTGGTGTGGTTCTATGTCAATATCCTCAATTAAGATGCCTTAAACATTGTCTAGGAATGCCTAGGATGGAATGAGGATGGGAAAATATACTTTAGAACACTTTTCAAAATTTGCTGAAAACAAGGGTCTCGCTCGAGCGTGGACTCTTTCGCTCGAGCGAGCTAACCAAATGAGAGAGGTCGCTCGAGCGTAGACTCCTTCGCTCGAGTGATCTGCAAAAATGTAAAAAGTACTGGTTGCTAAAATTCTCCGCTCGATGCTCGCTCGAGCGTGAGACACAACTCTTCGCTCGAGCGTAGGTTTCGTCGCTCGAGCGTGCGTCTGCACACGCAAAAACCTGAGAGCTTGCAATTTACGCTCAAGCCAGCGTTCCTTCGCTCGAGCGAGAGTCTGAAAACAAAGGTGGTCGCTCGAGCGTGGAATCTCTCATTCGAGCGAGGAAGCCAAATTCTGGATTTTCCAGATCTGCTTCCAAAGCTCAAACCATGAATCTAACATGCCAAAACTCAATCTCTTGGGCCAATTTTCTGGAAAATACTTGGAAACTCATAATACCACATGATTTAAAGACTATTTTATAAAATCAAAACCCAAAAGTATGCCAATTGAACACAATTTCAATGAAACTTTCATGAACAATGCAAGAACATAACATGCATGAGTTCTCATGAACTCTAATGCTCCAAGGTATGACCAAATGTAATATTGAGCTAAAAAACATGATGAATTTCTAGAGTACAACCATAATATGGACATGTATGTGGAAATTCTCATGAAAATGATCTCAAAATTCAATGATATGGACATGCATGTATAACTTGTTTCTCAATTCAACTCTCTAGGTTATTTCTTGACTCTAATCTCCAATTTTTCCATGAACCATGCATGAAACAACTTAAATTCATAATTAAGGGGGTGAATCCCTACCTTAAGTCTTGAATTTCCAAGTGTGGTAGCCAATTTTTCAAGTCCTCTTCAATTCCTCTAAATTTTCAAGCCAATCTCTTGTTGAATTCAATTTTTCTCATACTCTCCTCTCTCTCACGGTTTGCAATGAGATGGATGAAGAATGATGTGTCAAACATATGTGAATTAAGACCAAAACAATGGTTTTGAAGGTGGCCCACTCAATGGCAAAAGTATAAATAACCTAGATTCAATTAATTTAACATTATTTATTCTAATTTAATCATTCCAAATTGAATTTTAATTAAACCTACCATAAAATTCTATAAATTCTAATTAGCATATAACACTAATTAGTTTCTGAATCGGTCACCGATAAGGCTTTCAATTCGCAATTCGAAATTAAAACACGAATAGATCGTTCCGTAACGAACAGATAACAAGGCAATTAAGATAACATGCTCATGTAATCAATTTAAGATTTCATCTAAATCAATTATTTATCATGCCAAATCGCGAATTAACGTTGTTCGGAGGTAAGGGTTGTCACAACGATGTCGTTATTTATTAGCCCCATATACAAGGCTCCAAATCTTTGATTTCATCAATTTCGTCGATTTCATTATCATCATCTGATCAACAGGACAAATTTTATATGTTTTTATCTGTTGCAATACCAAGCCAAACCAAACTTTAAATAAAAAACACAAAAACATATTTGTGAACAGATTAAAAATAGCTCCATCATCATCATCACCATCACCATTGCCATAACCTCAAGAAGAAAAAAGAAACGGGAGCTCTAAATCCATTTTTCAAATATATATATCTGTCGACGAAATATGCAGATCCGAGTTTAGAGAGATCTAAAGAACACATCCTTCTTACAGAGGTTAGGGTTTCAACAGCAGCCTTCCGATGGCGAAATGTCTAGATCTGTCTTCGAAATGTGCAGATCCGAGTTCAGAGGGATCTGAAGAACACATCCTTCTTACAGAGGCTAGGGTTTCAACAGTGGCCTTTCGATGGCGAAAGCTAAGATTTCATCGCTCAGATCTGCAATTGAGGTGGCAATGGCAGAATAGAGGATGACGTTGTTGCTTCAAACGATAAGAGTTGTGAGAGAGAGAGAGAGAGAGAGAGAGAGAGAGAAATATGAGGAGAGAGAGAGAAAGAGAGAGCGGGTTTGGATCCAAGAATGAGGGAGTGGTGGACTGTCTTTGACCTTTGCGATCTGAGACAGACCTTCGAACCTCTTTGCTTGATCTCTACCAAAGCTTTCATGGTAGGGAAGTTGATAATGAGGAATGATCGATTTTAGAGAGGAACGGTGTCAGCAAAGAAATGGATGTGCTTGGTGGGGACAATTCGAATCATGACGGTAGTAGGGTTGCCATAGTTTTATACATCAAGTTATAGTGGTGGTATGGGAATGGGTGTGTTCTCCGGTGGTTGTGAAAGGATTTAGGGGTGGTAGTGGAAATGGGGATTTTGGTGAGGTCGCTAGGAAAAGGAGTGAGTTGAAGGATGAATGGCTGAAAGTAAAGTTTGAGAAATAAGGAGTTTTGATCCTCTGTAATATATTCATGGTAAAAATAAATTTTATTTTACATTAATTTTGAAATAACAAGCAAGAGAACGACATGTGTTAAAAAGACAAGTTCTCTGTTAATTCAGTTGATGGAGATGGACGAAGGGTATAAATTATGACACATAATAAAATTCAGGGTTTAAATTGATGAAATTGAAACCCTAAAGTGTAATTTGAAAAGCACGTGAAACTTTAGAGGATTTATTTATTTATTTATTTTATTTTATTTTATTTTTTGTAATTTTTCCAAAACAATAATAGTTAATTGATTATCTGACGAGATGTTGTGCGTTGTAATTTTTGTACCTCTAGTTAATAATAATAATAATAATAATAAAAAACCTTGATGGATGATTGTGATCAAGACCAATTCAAAATATTAATATTTAAATTAAAATAAAGTAATATTTGTTTTTTTTTTCTTTTTCTTTTTCTTTTTTGGTTGCTTTTAGAAGCTAATGTTTAAAAAATTATTAAAAAAATATTATTTATGAGTAATAAAATTGATATTACATTTGATTTTTTTAATTAATAGTAGATGAATTAATTACTTTTTTGACTTTTATATAAAAATTAACGTTTTTAGGTAACAGCAAAAGATATTCTTTGGCCTCATTTAAGAATAAATTATTTTAATAATTTTTTAATTATTAAACTGAAATATGAGGTAAATAAAGTAGTGTATTTCTGATATTTTTTGACTTTCTATTAAAAAAGTACAAAAAGTAAAGAGAAAATAATTTTTTTAAATTTTTTAATATAATTTATTAATTTTTTAATTTTTTTAATAACCATTTAACTTTTATGTTAAAATCAACATTTCTCAAACGTGGATTTGGTGGCATTTTAAATTTCTCAAATTATTTTTTATTTTTGCAATATTGTGGAGGCTAGCAGGACCCCCATAACATGAACACACAACTAGGGTTTGATCGGATTTGGACATTCAATTTAGGTTGGGAAAATCCCTACCATTGTAATAACAAATCAGATTACATACGTGAAACAGTTGTAACCAATAAGCTTTCCAATTTTCAAGCAACATGATGTCCACATTTTTCTGTCCCCCAAGGCAGTTTGTTTTGGGTTAAGTAGATGGGAGGGGATTAGGATGGTGGTGGTGTTATTTAATGTTGTGTTTGTTTGTAGAGTTGGGGAGGGGATTAGGATGGTAGATGTGATATGTATGGAGGTTGGGGAGAGAATTGAGATGGAGGTTGGGGAGATAGTATTAGAAAAATAGTGAGGGGATTAGAAATTTTTTTGGTTTGATTATTTTTGAAAACTTGTTTGTAGAGAAAATTTCCCAAAATTTTTTCAGAAAATCAAACCAAACGAGCCCATGATGTCTACATTTTTCTGTCCCTCAAGGCAGTTTGTTTTGGGTTAAGTAGATGGGAGGGGATTAGGATGGTGGTGGTGTTATTTAATGTTGTGTTTGTTTGTAGAGTTGGGGAGGGGATTAGGATGGTAGATGTGATATGTATGGAGGTTGGGGAGAGGATTGAGATAGAGGTTGAGGAGATAGTATTAGAAAAATAGTGAGGGGATTAGAAATTTTTTTATTTTTTTATTTGTTATATATTGAATTTTTTTATTATAAATATTAATATTTAATTTTTTATATTTTTTTATTTATTTTATTATTTTATATAAAAATAATTTAACAATTCTTATACTAATAATTATCATTAAAATAAATATAATTTTACTTAATCCTATCACTATGAATCTCCTCACTATGAATCTCCTCTATTCTACCTCTGAAAAAGAACAGAGCCTAAAACTATCCTCTCCACGTGCTTCTTCCTGCCCCGCCGCGCACTTTTTCCCTGCACTTTTTCCTCCACGTCTGCTTTCCTCTAACCTACACTCCCTTGCGCACTGCGCCACCCAAAACCAATCTCAACCCTCCGCTACACCCACTCCCAACGCCTCAGATCATCCCCCCGTTCCGGCGCACAATAGCCCTCATCACTACAGCATTTCGCCAGAACAGCCAACCACACAAGAAGACGACGACTTCACGGTAATCTCTTTTCGTTCACGTGTCGTACGCCTCGCCACCGTCCAATCTACCCGTGCTAACGTGCGCCTCGCCGGCCGATCTCGAATTGAGTTTCTGATTTTCTTCTCTGTTCGTGATCTCGGAAGAGGCGGTTTTCATGGAATTTCTATAGAATTCTGTGAATCTGAGCTCTTGGATGGGAAAAATTGGTGCTGTTTGGGTGTTCATCGACACCTTAGGTTTGTGATTTGGTTGAATTTGATACGATGGAGCGAGATGAGGTTGTAATCGATAACGATGGTGGTGGAGGAGGCGGTGTTAATAGTAAGAGCAGTGATGCGCTTATCGATCGCAGTAAAGTGAGAATTTTGGTGTGCGACAACGATGCCAAGAGTTCGGAAGAGGCTTTCGCGCTTTTGTGCAAATGTTCTTATCAAGGTATATTGGTTTCTCTACTCAATTGTTAGAGCATCTCCAATGTTCATAAGATATTTCATCATATTTGAGTAAAAGTTTGATCTAATATGATTTCATCAAATCTGGCCGGTTGTCTGTCTAGAGTAAATTTTTATCCAATTCATACCAAAACCGGTTGTCCAGAATGATGTTTAGGCGGATGTCCGGCCCAATAGTCATCTACAAATTTGATAAAAGGATGAATGCTCATTCACTTGATGAAAAAAGAACCGCTTCCTTCATTTGATAACAAACTAATGAAACGGTTGAAACACTGTTTTCATCAGTTTTTCATCAAATTTAAATTTGATGAAAGATCCGATGAAAGATCAGAGATGGGTTAATGCATCAATTTATATTGTTGTTTTTAGAACTATTCCAAATTTGATATGAACTACTTCAATCCTTTTAAATTTTGATCAAATTCAAATGTGATGAAAAAAGGGACTGGCTCTTGATTTGATGAAATGATTGGAGATAATTTTTTAGCACTTTTTCATCAATTTAAATTTGATAAAAGAAAAGGTAAAGGATTGGAGAGGCTCTTTGTTGTTGAAATTCTTATCGGAATTTGGTGTTAGTGTGGGATGCTGAGTTTGGAAAAGTTTGATTTGAAATTAGATTACGGAATCATTTCAACAAATTGTGTGTGCAATTCCAGGGAGTATTGGAAGCTTGCAAAGTTGTAATTTCCATGTAGTTAATTGCCATTTCATCTACATGTTAGACTTAATCGTTTGGCACTTTTTGTGGAGCTAGATAAAATCATTGTTGTGAAATTGCAAGTTGAATCATTGTGTGAATTACAACTTTAAAGGAGCCCAATGTAATTATGTCAAAATTATGGGACTTGTTGTATGTTTTCCAAATTTAAGGAGTGGTCAGTGTAATTTACCCTTTTATCTATGTATATATAATATAAATATATATATAAAAATACGTTTATAGTGTCTAAAATGAAATAAATATCAATATAACTTTATATGTATATATTTATACACTTATAAAACTATCTATAAGCAATATAACCAATCAATCTTTTTTCCCCTTGATAGAGAGTTCAAAACAACATTGTTTCATGTAGTACCCAAACAAAAAACCACCCCTTCTGACACACCTTGTAACCGATTCACTAACACTTTTGCCAAAAGCTTATACACACTACCCAATAGACTGATAGACCGAAAGTCCCTAATATGAGTTGCGTGTTGGGGGGTTGGGGCTGGATGCTTTGGTGTGGGATTGCCCTAGGGCTAAAGGAAAGTTTTCTGTTTCTTCATTTTAAGCATCGAGATTTCTGTCGAAAACTAATCTCCTCCATACGGGCAATGTGACCAAATTCTGCACGGGCCCCATCTCGACGAGCGAGATCTGTTTCAGATAATCCCCCCGCAGCCTCTAACACATCCAGCTCCTACAACACAGCGAGCACATTGACCTTCTGGACCTCCAAACGCCCAAACACTTCCCTATTCCACATCTTCAAATCGGACTTGAGAAGTTTCAGTTTCTGTGCCAGACGACAACTTGGCAAGCCTGAAACAGAATAACTGTCCCATCAATCCTTCACCTCCTCCTTAAAACCCTTAGATTGCAACCACATATTCTCAAACCGAAACGGAGCCGGTCCACCCCTGATACCCCCACTATCTAATAAAACTGGCCAATGATCTGATACTGGGCGAGACAACCGAATTTGAGTCACTTGAGAGAAATGCTCCTCCCACTCCCCTGTTACCAAGAATCTATCAAGCCGAGACATTGCTCCTCCCCCAGACCACGTATAGGCTCCACCCTACAACGGAAAATCTACCAGAGCCAGATCATCAATTAACGAAGAGAACGCCTGCATAGAAGCCACCACCGAAGTTGCACCCAACTTCTCCTCCAGACTCCTCACCACATTAAAATCGCCACCTACACACCTCAAACCCCCCACCGATAAACGTGGCGTTGCAGCCGAATTCTGTTAAAGCAGTTTTGCAGAGTTGGGCTGGGGGTCGTGTTGGGCGGCGGCACAAAAGGCGTGGATGCTTGCCTCTCATTGTCTTCTCTGGATGGTTTGGTTGGAGCGTAATAGGCGTGTTTTCCAAGGGGTAGCTCATCCGGTTCCTTGGTTAGAAAGACGCCTCCTTATGGTTTTGTATAGTTGGATGACATGTTCGGTTAATCCTGATGTTTTGGCTTTTGTAGATTTTGTGGAGGATTTGATTTGTTAAGTCTGTGCGCCTTGGTGGCTTTCAGTTTTGTATTTCTTTGCATCATCTTGATACTTTTCTAATAAAGTTTGGTTATTTATCCAAAAAAATAAAATAAAAATGAAAACAAGTGTATCATAGTGAAATGCAATTTGAATTGCAGAATTCACTCCATCTTTTTATTCAACAATACAATTCAAATTGAGTTGGTTAAAACTTGTATTGAATTGTTAATCTTACGATTCTAGCAACCATAGATAAAATATTGTATTAAATTCATTAAGGTTGTGTTTGGTTCAAGGACCTGGGAAGGGATTTGGAAAGAGAAAGGAAAAAAGTATGTGAAATATAGGTATATTTTATTCACATTTTACCGTCTTTTACCCTTTCCCTTTCCCTTTCATTTTTCAAATCCCTCCCCAAATCCTTCAACCAAACACAGCCTAAGAGGCATTGCACTTCACACACATGGGGGAAGAAAAAAGTGGAAGGACAGCAGTAGTGGAATTATTGCACTTTGTTGGAATTAGGAAATAATGATATTATAATTATGGTAGTGTTAACATTAGGAAATAGTGATATTGTAATTATGGTAGTGTGTATAAAATCTGTGATTATGTCAATCACAGATTTAATGCCTTTTTATCTTTGTTTCCTATTTTGTTCGTTTCTTATTTTGTGATATTATTTCATTATAAATGCAAGGCTCTAACTCATTCATAGGTAACCCAAAACAATTTTTTTCATCCTTTTTAGTATTAGAGCCTAAACACAGAAACCCTAGACCACCCCCTCATCCCTATTGGCCCCTGTTCTTCACTGTCCAGTAGTTTCTTCATCTTCTTTCTTCTTTCTTCTTCCTCTAGCAGCCGACATACCTCCTCTCCCCTCTTGACCACCCGACAGTCTAACCCACCACTCCTAGACCATCCGAAACCACTTACCCGCCCTCGTATACCCCTTTGCAGGACTGTGTTACACCTGCTGAGGGCCTTGCTGCTGCTGATCAGGTCTCATCCTAGCCTAGAGTACTTCGACACCCTCTTTAGGGTGATCTGAAGCCTTTTTCTCTCTTTTACAGGATATAGTGTTGATGCTTTAAGCACTTTTTTGGACCCTTTTTTGTCTTTTCTTTTTGTGGGCTATCAGGTTTATTCGGTAGCATTTAGCTGTTGAGTTTTTTTCAGCTTTTCTGATTGTTTACTCAGACTGTGTTGCTATCTATTTCATCTCTCATTATCTCCCCATGGATAACTCATCTTATACCATTCTTACTGAGGTATCTACTATGGTTTCCACCAAACCCGTGCCTTTTCCAAGTACTGATTTTTCTCTTTCCCATCACACTTCTATTCATCGTATTACGAGTTTGGTGTTGAATGGGAAAAATTTTGCTACTGGGAGCCGTTTCCTTAAACTCTATCTTGGGGAAAAGGGAAAGGCTTACTGGCTTTTATCTACTATTACCCGGCTAGCTGCAACAGACCCTACACGTGCTCATTGGGATATCGATAACTGCACTATATTGGGATAGATGTTCAATTCCATGGAAGATCGGATTTATCATATGTTCTTTTATTGGGATACAGTTTCGAGTTTGTGACAGGCATTGTCACAGATGTACGGTAATGCTCACAATGATGCACTTATCTTCGAGCTTTACCAGGACATAGCCTGGGCCTCTCAGTCCTCTCTTGGCCTTTCTGTAGCTGAATTTTTTGGATATCTTCAAGCTCGTTGGGAGAAACTTGCTCAATATGAGCCTTTGACTGACCTTCCACCAGAAGCCGTCTCCTTTGGTCCTGTTTGGTGTAGCCGTTAAAACAGATTATAGATTATAGTTTAACAGATTATACATTATGACTTTAATCAGAAGCTGTTAATCTGTTTAGTGTAGCTGTTGGATTATAGATTTAAGTTGCTGAGTAGTGTTTGTTAAATAAGCTGTAAAATAGTTTTTTCAATTAACTTTTATTTTTTATTATTCACTATTTGTCTGCATTTCTCATAAAAAATAATAATAATATTCTATAGTCCATTTGGGTCTTTTTTTATTTTAAAAAAAATAAGAAATAAAAAAATCTAAGAGTATAATCGTGAATTAACATGTCCACAGCAGAAGCTGATAATCAGAAGTAAGGGGTGAACAGCTTCTCAGAATCAGTTTTTTTGACTTAAAATAAGTTGTTAGAATCAAAACCTGTTTGAAATAAGTTTAATCAAACAGTTCAAAATAACTTTTTAAAAGCCAGAAGCCATAAGTTGGCTCAAAAAAGCCCCACCAAACACCCCCATTGTGTCCACGGGGCTTGCCCGACAGCACACTTATCAATTTCTCATGGGTTTAAACTCTAAATTTGAATCTCTTCGAATTCAAATTCTAAACACATCACCCATGCCATCTCTTTATGAGACTTTTGCCACTATTGACAGTGATGAGTGTCGTCGGCGATTGGTTCAGCCTAGTGTTCCTTCAATCCCTCCAATTTTAGCAAATCAGATGGTTTTTGCTACGAGTTCTAGTTCTCGAAGTTCCATCGGTTTTGTCACTTGTCATCATTGTGGTGCACCCGGACATATCAAAGCTCGTTGCTTCAAACTTTATCCTGAGATGAGGTAATGCCCTTCCCGTCCTTGTGGTCTTGCTCCATGTGGTTCTGGCTCTGCTCCCACTGTTGCGTTGGTGGACGTTACTCTTGCTTCTGAGCCTCCTAATGTCCCTAATCTACAGCAGTTACAGACTCAGATTGGTCAGCTTCAGGCTCAACTTGGGTCCCTCACTATTGGCTCTCTTGGTCTATCATCCTCTACTGTCACCCTTTCTACAGGTACTTCTATTGCTTTCCATGTTCGATCTGCTAGTCCTTTATGGATTCTGGATTCTGGATTTTGGGGCTAATGATCATATGACTGGTGAGTTTTCTTTTCTTTCCTCTCCTGAACCCACCACTGCTGCCCAATTTGTGTGTCTTGTTGATGGTTCTTGCTTTTCTGTCCAACATAAGGGTGTTGTGTCTTTAGCCCCTGATATCACTTTATTTTCTGTGTTGCATGTTCCCAAGTTTGCTTATAATCTCTTATCTGTTAGTCGTCTTGCCAAAACCTTTAGCTGTGCTGTCATTTTCTTACCTTCTGCGTGTCTTTTACAGGATCTGAGTTCGAAGAGAATTTTTGGCAGGGGATATGAGTGCGACGGGCTATACTACTTTGGGAATCCATCGGACCAGCCTTCCTTGTCTTTGGCTAGTTTTCAGGCGTCTGTTTTGCCTCCTATATCTTGTGTTTTTTATATTCAAACTTTAGAGTTTTGGCACACCCGTATGAGTCATGTTAACTTTTAATATTTATGTTAACTTTACCCTTTATTAAATAAAGCTTACAAGGATTCTAAATTTCATTGTGTTTTTTGTGAGTTGTCTAAACACCCTTTATTAAGTAAAGCTTACAAGGATTCTAAATTTCATTGTGTTATTTGTGAGTTGTCTAAACATATCCGTATTAGTTATATACCACATATGACATAGGCCTCTAGTGCTTTTGACCTTATTCATTTTGATGTTTGGAGTCCCTCTCCTATTCCTACTTTTTCGGGTCATCGTTATTATGTGACTTTTATTGATGATCACATTAGATGCACTTAGGTCTATTTACTTCATTGCAAGTCTGATGTGTTTCCCATCTTCGTTCAGTTTTTGCAAATGGTTAAGACACAATTTTGTACAGTTGTTAGGAACATCCGCTCTGATAATGGTGGGGAATACATCTCTAATGAGTTTCATTCCCACCTTAATCGAATGCGTATTCTTCAACTTACATGTTCTTGGACCCCTGAACAAAATGGTGTCACTGAACGTAAAAATCGTCATATTATGTCTGTCGTACATTGTCTTCTTTGTGGTATGCATGTGCTCAAGTCTTATTGGCACATGGTTGTTCTTACTACTGTCTATCTCATTAATAGGGCTCCTAGTCATGTGTTACATGGCCTTAGCCCATTCCATATTTTTATGCCTAACATTGTCATTTTTCCTCTTTTACCTTGTGGTTTTTAGTGTACATGTTTTGTTCAAGACCGGCGTCCCACCCATATTAAGTTAGATTACAAGTCTATTCGTTGTGTCTTTTTGGGGTATTCTTCCATGTCTAAAGGATATATATGTTTTGATCCTGTGTCTCGTCACTTTCACCACACACTGGATGTTACTTTTTGTGAGGATCTTCATTTTTTTAGTCCCAACCCCCTGTTACAGGTTTCCCCTTCAGATACTCCGAGTGTTCGCTCGATTCCCATTTTGGACGAGGTTGCGGATGAGGTTGCCCCCCTCTCTTATCCTCCACCTTTGCCTCCTTTCCCCTCCCCCCCCATTGCAGGTATACTCTCGCCGCTCTCGTGCTCAGTCCCCTCCTGCCACCTCTTTGAATCTTGGGTTAGGTAATTCTTCCCCTTTACATACATCTCCTTCCTTTCCTCGTCGTAATCCTCCTCGGGATCGACATCCCCCTGAACTGATCATCCCATTTCCCAGTATCTCTCATATGACAGGGTTTTAGAAATCATTCTTTCCTTGGCAAGCTTGAGTCCGAATCTATTCCTCGGTCTGTATCAGAGGCCCTTCAGAATCCAAAATGGGTGACGGCCATGTAGACTGAAATGACAGCTTTAGAACAGAATCATACTTGAAATTTGATTCTTTACCGTCTAGCGAGAGTATCGTGGGTTGCAAATGGGTCTTTGCTATTAAGTACCTACCTGATGGCTCCGTTGATCGTTATGAGGCCTGTTTAGTGGCCAAGGACTTCACTCAAGTTCCTAGCAAGGATTTTGGTGCTACCTTTGCCCCAGTTGCCAAGCTTACATCTGTTTGTCTACTCATCTCCCTTGCAGCATCTCATTCTTGGCCTTTTTATCAGCTTGATATCAAGGATGCCTTTCTACGTGGAGATCTTCTTGAGACGATTCATATGGCCCTTCCTCCTGGTTTTTGAGCTGAAGGGGAGTATTCGGGGAAACTATGTCAACTGCGCAAGCCTTTGTATGGCTTGAAGCAGTCTCTACGAGCTTAGTTTGGTCGTTTTAGCTCAGTCATAATCTCCATGGGCTTTGTTCAGTGCTATTCAAACCATACGTTTCATCTGTTGTAATTCTGTAGGTCAGTGTATAGTCTTGTTGGTTTATGTGGATGATATCATTCTCACCTGTGATGACTCTATAAGCATTGATCAAGTAAAACGGGATTTGGGACACACCTTTGATATTAAGGATTTGGGAAATCTCAAGTATTTTCTAGGGATTGAGATGGCTTGCTCACGGTAGGGGATTTCCTTATCTCAAAGGAAGTACACTCTTGACTAACTTAAGGATGCTGGTATGTTGGGGTGTAAACCTGCTTTTACTCTTATGGATCCCAATGTCAAGTTCACATTAGAGTCTGGCGAATTACTAGAGAACCCAGGCATGTATCAGCATCTTGTTGGGCGTCTCATCTATCTGACCAATACTAGACCTGACTTGACATTTACAGTTAGTGTGGTTAGCCAATTCATGCATACACCTCGTACAAAGTATTTTGACGCGGTTCATCACATCTTGAGATATTTGAAGACCTTTCCTGGCTTGGGATTATTCTTCACAGCTGATCCTCAATCTAGACTCTCCTGTTTACTGATGCTGACTATGCAGAATTTAGAATGGATAGGCGTTCTACTTCTGGCTTATGTACTTTTTGTGGTGATCATCTTATATCATGCAAAAGTAAGAAGCAAGTAGTTGTTTCTAGGTCTTCTGCAGAAGCTGAGTATAGGGGTATGGCACAAGGCACTTGTGAGATTCTATGGCTACGTTCTATTTTGGCAAAGTTGGGATTTGAGGAGACTGCTCCTGCGTCTTTGTTTTGTGACAACAAGTTTACTATTATATGCTGTCTTTTGATTTTGTCCTAAGTGAGCGTACTTAGCATATAGAGGTTGATATACATTTCATTCATAGGCTATGAAGCATGGACACTCCAAAATCATTGCTATGGCGGTGTCTGACACGGGGACACGCCAGATGGTGTGTCCCTTTAATTTAATGATTTTTTTGTAGGGGACACGACGGGGACACACATGTCCATATTGGGACACGGCGGGGCTAATTTTTATTTTATTTTTTTTTTCTTTTGCCTTTCTTATTTAGTGCTTTTGTGAAGAATATTTGTTGGATGTTGAATGTTTTTCCCTTTTCGTCTTAGTTTTTGTTATCGTATATTATAAATTTTTTGTGAATGGATGATCTATTAATTTGTTTAAATGTAGTGGTTATATTTATTCAATTAATGTTATTATGTTAGTGTTTGTTAATTTTGATTTAGGATAAATGTAATATGAATCTACGTAACACATAAAAATATATATAAATAAATAAAATAAAATTCTCCGTGTCTCCCTTTGTGTCCGTGTCTCCATTTTTTGGAAATTGCCGTGTCCCTTGTCGGTATCAGTATCCGTGTCCGTGTCCGTGTCCGTCTCCGTGTCTGTGATTCATAGTTCATAGGTAAGCCAAAGCAATTCTTTTCATCCTTTTCACTTGACACACTAAACATAATTGTTTGAACGGACTATCTTAATTCTGCTTGTTTTCTGTTCCTCCTTTCCAAATCCACTCTATATAACAAATATACCTACCTTTGTTTTTGCAAAGTAATCTATACTATTATTAAAAGTGAACAACTCACTTGGTGTCCATGAACTTCCTTCTCTCCTTTTGCCAAGTGGCTTTCTCTTCTTGTGCCAAGTGTCAATTTCTCCATCCAAAAGGAAAAAAAGTAGTAGTTACAAGAGGGCATAGGACTTGAACCTAGACCACTTTCACCACTTAAACAACATAGAAGATGTGTTTTCAATTCAAAATTAAAATTTATATTTAAGCACACCCATCAGGTGGGCTCACACCCCTAGTTCTTTTAAAAAGCAGAAAGTAGAGTTACAAATCTGTGTTCATTGGTACTGGACAACGGCAGTGGAACAATTTTGATGTTGTTTCTTAATAATTCCTCCCTTGGGGTTACTATTACAAACATGAATTTTCCTGTTTTTTTTCTTAGAAGCAAGTCTATTTGGCATTAGATAGTCGTGAAATCAGCTTCTTATACAGGCTAGGCTATGAAGTGTTTTGCCAAGAAACGACTTTTTTTTGGCCCCTGTAACGAAGAGAGCATTAGGGGTGTAGTTTCCTTCTGGGGATCTTTTGTTTTCTTTGTATGAAACCACATATTGTAAAGAGTGCCTGCAATTCTAGAGAAATGAGAAAATACTCAAAGAACTAATGGCTTTGATTTAATAAGCAAACTTTGATAGCTATCTTAATTTTGAATCATTAATGTGGGCAGACTATTAGCGGTCAACCTTTCCTTCAATATTTTTTACTTGGTGGGAATTCATCTTGAACTTAAAGCTTTTCATTGTGTGTGTGCATGTTTTTTTATTTATTTATCTGTAGTTTTCCTTTTCTTCAATTAGTTTGATAATTTTAATTCGTGCATATAGAGAACTCCTTTAACTAGCCCACTTATGTGATGTACCTTCATATCCAGTTAATCTACATTTTTATACTGACAATGAGCAATTTTTTCTTTGCAGTAACTTCAGTGAGGTCAGCCAGACAAGTGATTGATGCACTGAATGCTGAGGGCCCTGACATAGATATTATTTTGTCTGAAGTTGACCTTCCTATGGCCAAAGGCTTGAAAATGTTGAAATACATTACGAGGGATGAAGAGTTGCGACGCATTCCTGTGATCAGTAAGTTTAGTTATTAGCATTTTATCTGAAAAGACTAAAATGTTTGTTTTCTTCTGTTGGGTAATATTTTGTTTTTTGTTTGCTAAGTGATGTCGGCACAAGATGAAGTATCTATTGTTGTCAAGTGTTTGAGACTTGGAGCAGCTGACTATCTTGTGAAGCCATTACGCACAAATGAACTGTTAAATTTATGGACTCATATGTGGAGGAGAAGGCGAATGGTATACTAATGTTTTGCTTTTTTCTTTTGTTGTTTGAAAGCGCCCCTCTTTGATCCTTGTGGAAATCTTGAATGAGATCTAAGTTATTCTTTGAAAACTAATTTGAAGACGGCATGTAGAAAATGTAAAAATATTCTTATTTGTTCTTTTGTGGGCAGCTTGGATTGGCAGAGAAAAACATAATGAACTATGACTTTGATCTGGTGGCATCAGACCCTAGTGATGGTAATACGAACAGCACTAATCTGTTTTCGGATGACACAGATGAGAAGCCCTGGAAGAGTGCAAATCCTGAGATGTGCACATCAAGTCATCAGGAAGACGAGGTCAATGCTATAAAGAGGCAAATCTTGGTAATTAAAATATCACTAAGAAAACCCTTCATATTGGTGACACTAGATTGTGCTGAAAGACATGATCACTACATGTACTCCTGAATAGTTTTATGAAAAGTTGCCCCTTTTGATATCTGAAACATGATTGTGAACTTTGTGTGTCACTTTGACTAGCATTATCCAACTTTTTACATGTTGCTGATGAAGGTGATAAAAAATGCAAGAAAGGCTGCAATTAAGAGTTCACTTCTATTGTGTATAAAATTAGGGTGTTTTATGTGGCACTGAGGGATGAATCTTTAAAGGTACATTAGTGCATGAGAAGTTTAAAAATCTTCTTTCATTGGCGACTTGAAAGTTTAAATTAATAGATTTATTGGAAATAGATTATACATATTGATAAATGTGGTTTTTTATATGATTTGTAATTTAGAATTTTAAATGTCTACCCTAACAAAAATTCCTGGAGCCGCCAGTGTATCAAGGCATATGAACTGATATTCAAGGTGCAAATTTAGAGGCTTTGAATTGTAACTTAAAACTGGAGGCCTACAAGATATGCATGTAATGCATTATGATTAACATTTACAGAATATAAGGTTATTTTAGGTGATCCACAGTTTCTGTGTCATTGTATCTGTTTTATTTTATTTTTGTTTGGATAGTATTTTTTGGGAGGGAGGGAAGGTTTTAAGTTCTGTGATTCTGAAATTTTGGCTAGACTACATCCAGTTCATGGCACATTGGTTGTTGTATATCTTACTTCCAAGCTCCAACTGTCAGATTCTTTTGTATATACTTACTAAAAACAAATGGCCAATTAGTACTCATTAATGGGTTTTTGAGAGGATAAAGTTGGATACATACCTAACCTTTGGCATAAATGCACAAATTGGCTGTCCTTGGGTTTTAAAAAGTTGTGTATTTCAATATACACTATTTTTCTTGCCATGAAACTCTGAAACATGATTTCCAAACCACCGCAATAACTCGTGGTCTGGATAAACTAGGTGACTATGGAAGGCAAGTAACTGTTAGGTTAAGATTAACTAGGATTCTTAATTGTTTAATAAAAGAACTCAAATTGTGTTGATAAAAAAACAAAAAATATATATACAAAAAACGACTTGAATTGTGATTCTCTTTAATGCTTTATACGATGACTATTGCTGCAGCTCATATTAATTTGTTCACAATTAGTCTATCAATTTGTACACTCAACTTTCTTTCGTTTTTCTTTGTTGTCCCCTGGGCAACAGATTTTAATCATTGTTATCTGCTGCATACTATACATAACCACCATTAAAGGATTCACTCAAAAAGTTTAACTAATATGTTAAATATTTAACTAATCCATTAGATGCTATGATGCTTCCATTGGTGAAATGATTTAAGGCTAGTGGTTATTCTGTCAAAGTTGCATTTAATCAATTAATGCTTTGCTTTGTGATAAGCACTGGCCAACTCCAAACTAACATTTGTTGTGCATGTGCATTTTTTCTTTTCAGTCTAATGTTTACACTGCTACTGCTCCTGTAGAACCTTCACTCGTGGATTCTCCGGATCATCAGCCTGATGTGCCTGGAATTAGTGACCGTCGAACAGGTGAGCATTTCTTATGGTTTTTTATTAGCTGCTTTACATGTGATATGTTGGATATCAAATGGAACTGAAGTTTTGTTGAACTTTTTGGCGAATTTGGTTTTTTTTATATCTTTTTGAGTAGTTTAACTTGGTTGACTGCATATTTGAATTGGTTCTGTCACAGTTTTGTAAGTTACATGTTAATACATTTTGTGTCAGAGGCTCCATTTTCTGTGGCTACTCCGCTAGTGGAGATGGATTTGGGCCTTAAGATGCAAAGGAAGCAAAATGAAGTGGTTTTTCATTTTCATATTTTAAATAGGAAGCACATTTTTTTGGGAATGTAACGGTTCAAATTTCCTCATGGAAAAGGAATATTGAATTCTTTTATTTATTTTTATAAGCACCTACACTAGGTATTTTTGGGCTCTCAATCCTTCAATTGGCATATTGAGGGGCTAATCCTCATCCAAATCCTTGATTCCATATGGTTTAGGTGTGAAGATCTGAGGCACTCCAAGGACTATCTTGTCTATTCAGCTCCATGTTTTTAGAAAATTTGTAAAATGTAATGATACTGGTAGTTGAACTTTATCAGGTTATTAATGGATAAGGAAAATCTTTCTCCTCATTAGTATTTGGTGGGTTTTATACTTGATCCTCTACTTACACGTTGACAAAGATTCAAGCCTTGCAATATGTTGATGAAGATACAATATCTTCACATATATGCTCTTTAACACTCACATATGTATGCTTGAAGATGTATATATAGAAACTGTGCACACCTTAATGCAATTTAAAGTAGCCAACATTTTTGCCTGTGGTCATTCTTATGTTCTTGTTTTTCTTTGGTTCTAGGAGGAGCCTTTAGAGTCTTGTGCTATGTTATATATTTTCCATCAATAATAATGGTTTTTCTTGTTGCTTCATCAAACTTAGTGGTACTGTATTTGATGTTGGTTCTGAATGATTCTGAAGTAGTGGATTGTCAAATTTGCAGAGTGTTCAGCGTCTTTACATTCTTTGCACGTTCTATATGTTCTTTTTATAGAAAGCTGATGATGCCCTGCAACTCACCCCTCTTATTATATGATGTTCTAGCCATCTGCTGCTACTTAACACATTTGATGTCACATTATATTTGGTAGCCTTTTCACCCTTCTCGCTTGCACAGCTCAATTAAAAAAACTATTGCAATGTTTCAGGACAATGTTCATCATTTCCGAAGAAGAGTGAACTAAGGATAGGTGAGTCTTCAGCATTCTTCACTTATGTCAAATCAAGCATACCCAAAAGCAATCTCCATGAATTTGCTTCTGTTGATGAGAATGCTCCTCTAGACTTGACGATCGAAAACAAACTTAATGCATGGGGTGGAAAAGTGACCATTGATACCCAAAATCATGACAACAATATCAAAATTCACGAAAACAGAGAGGCACAGGAAAATTACTTGCAAGGAGATGACTTTCCAAGCAGTAGCAGTATCCGTGAGTCTCTTTCTATGGAGAGGACTTCTACTCCCTCTGTACTAACAGAATTTTCACAAGAAAGGAACTCAAATATAGAAGAGTTCTCTCAAGTGCATATGAATCCAAGAAATGAGTCTCTCCCTGATGTCTCCAGTTTTCATGCAGATACTGCTTATCCGTATTATATTTCTGGAGTAATGAATCAAATTATGATGCCATCGACACAAATGTATCAAACAAATGTGCACGATTTGCCCAACCATGCTACTTCAGCTATATTGCCTCAGTATGGACATATTCCACAGTGTCATCACGTTCCAGGTATGTCATCATTTCCGTACTACCCAGTTAGCATTTGCGTGCAACCAGGTCAAATGCCTACAGCACTACCATGGACATCATATGGAAGTTCTTCAGTCACTGAAAGAAAATTAGGTAAAGTTGATAGAAGAGAGGCAGCTTTAATCAAGTTTAGGCAGAAGAGGAAAGAACGATGTTTTGACAAAAAGATTAGGTACGCCAACCGAAAACAGCTTGCTGAAAGGAGGCCTCGTGTTCGGGGACAGTTTGTGAGGAAGATGAATGGTATCGATGTGGTTTTCAATGGGCAGCCTACTTCGGTTGATTTTGATGAGGACGATGAAGAGGAGGACGAGGGAGACGACAATGCAGCTGGGGATTCTTCTGATGACGATGCCTCAATGTGCCAAGTATGAACTACTATTCAATGAGGAATGGCACCCTTCATTTATTATTCCCCGGTGCCTTAAAAATAATCCACATTCTGCTATCCTGCTCAGCAATTTGGGGTTTGGTAATTTTGATCGAAGGGCACTGATCATTTTGAGCTTTCAATCAACTAATGTTACCTTGTTTCCAATAGGAGCTGGCCACTTGATGTTATTATGTGGGGTTTACTTCATTCAAATGATCAAGTTACAACCGACAAGGCACAATCCAGTAGAACTATTCAATCAAGATTCCAATCTGCAGTATGTGGATTCCAGGAGCGGGAATCTCTGTATTTTGAAATCTTGGAAAATCCAAGGGGTTTGATGGTTTTGACCTTCTAATGCTTTGGAGATTTGTTGAACTCCATCTAAGTTGTTCTCAGAGAAGGAAGGCAATTGTATTCGCCATTTCAAAGTAAAAAATAAGGTAATGAAGCTGAAACTTGCATTTATGTTTGAAAAAATTTATGTACTTCTTCGGTCAGAAATCTGACAACATGCGATTTATTACTTATGGGTAAATTACCAATAGGTCTTAATATTTATACTTAATTTCTATCAAGTTCTATTGAAAACAAGTCCTATTAAAAGCGCCACAAAAAATAATTTTTTGTGATGATTTTTTTGCATATATCGCTAAAAATTGACAATTAGTAACTTTTTTTGTCATGATTTTTTTAAATTGTCGCTAAAATTTACAATTAGTGACGTTTTTCTGTGTTGAATTTTTCAAACTGTCGCTAAAAGTTGAAAATTAGTGACTTTTTGTGATGGTTTTTTTTAAATTGTCACTAAAATTTATAATTAGTGACCATTTTTAAACTGTTGTTGAAAATTAATAATTAGTAATGTTTAATAGTGTTTGATTAAAAATATCATTAATTCTCACAAGACTTGTTAGATAATAAGTCCACCCACTAGAACGTTAACACAAGTGCCTCTTTACTTATTTGCAACTTTTTGCAAGAGGAGATATTTAGAAAATTGAGTGAAATTGTGAGTGTTGTTCAATCTATCGAAGTTCTTGGAAAAACTCTAATGAAAGTGTGAAGAGCTGGCAACTGGCTAGCATGCGTGTTTGCATTTGCTATGAGTGGGTGCCAAGCCAAGTGGGTTTGTAGTCTTTAGAACATCTCCAACTGGTCTCCATTTGAAAGACTTTTTTACTCTATTCATACTCCCTAATGGATTTTTATTTTGGAGACTTCAATATGAGTCTCCAAATTTGGAGACCCACAAGAATCTCTAAAATTTTGTTGCCTTTGGTAGAGCTTTCTAACTATGATTTGAGAGTATGAGTTATATTTTGAGTTTGTGAGTTTTGGAATTATGATTTGAGTGTGAAAAATTTGTTTGGTAAAAGAGTTTTGAAAATAGTTTTAAAAAGAGTTTTGAATCGAGTGGAGAATTTTTGATGTGACATTTGATATTTGATATAAAAATTTACAACTCATAACCAAACATACAATTCAAAATTCTATTAAAGCATATAAAATTTTTTTAAAAATTTAAAAAATATTTTTTTCGAATATATAAAAATTAACATATCAATTGCAAAAAAAAAAAAAAAATTTGCACTGTTCCGGTCAACCGGCCGGACGACTGATGGGATGTCCGATAGGACATTCGGTGGGACGATTGGTTCGGCCAAATTTAAAAAAAAAAAAAAAAAATCGAAAATCGCGCTTTACAAAGAGTTTTCTGGAGAGTTTTGTGTTTGTTGTGGAAAAGTAATTCCAAAACTCTATCCAAACATGATGTTCCAATGTGGGGTTAGAATCAGGATTTGAAAATCCTTCCAAACAGATAGACTTTTTACCCTCTATTCATGTTCGTTTTCATGATGACCCAGATTGCTGGTGAATTCGGTGAAGCCTCCTCTTCATTTGCATTTGTCAATTTGATTTTCAGCCCCTAAAAGTTTGCCATCAACTATAATATCTACCAAGAATAAACATCATCATCATCATCATCTGTAGTGCATTGTTTTCCTAAGTTGTGTACAAGATAACTAGCCAAGTTAGTGTCAAGTACTTCAGCTTTACGTTTACTTTTACGTTTTGTTTGGTTGAAAATTTAGGAAGAAATTTGAAAAAAGAAAAAATTAAGAGATTTAGAAAGAAATTTAGAAAGAGAAAAAGAAAAAAAGTAAATATAATATGAATAAAATATACCTATATTTCAAATGCATATGATAAGAGAAGACAAAAAGTTGGGAGACATCTCAACGTCACAAACATTTTGAAAAAGCTTGTAAAAGACTACATATTTGGGAAGCAAGTTTTTAGCCAGCTTTTAGCTTTTTACTCATTTTGATTCGCATTACCTCTCACATTTTTTACCCATAAAAAGATAAAATAGACTAAAAAAGTCAAAAAATTAACTTTTTACCAACTTCTTAAAACACCACAATTTTTTAAATCCACATATCCAAATCCAAAGAGTCAATATGAACACTTTTAAAAGTGAGTTGCATCCGTATTACATTTATATCAGATATCTATACTTATTGAATTTGATGTTAGTTTTCTGAAGTATCAACTATTTTTTGAATGCTCAAACCAAACTATTATAAAATTATAATTATAATCTCTATTTAGTTTTGAATTTTTAATAATAGTTTTTGAATTTTTTGCTTTTTTTGTGTTAACCCACCCCACGCCCCCTACCCCCCCTATTTTAGTTAATTTTTTATTTTATTTTTAGATGGACTTTAAAAGTAAAATAACTGTGGAGAAATTTTAAAAAAAAATCAATAAATACAAAAGAAATACAAAAATGTATTGAATTTTATTTTTATTTTTATTTTTTATATTTAGTGAATTTAACTAATAAGTGGTTTGCTGTTTTTACTCTTCATAATTTTAACTTCATCATGCTCATGTAGATTTTAAATGATTCTCAGTACTTTCCTTTCTTCAGTTGGATCCATCATCCATAAAATTGAGTCTAGAAGGCTGGCCTATTTTGAGAAGTAGATTAAAAGTTGGCTGTTTAGTTTTTTTATTTTTTATTTTTTGGCTTTTGAAAAAAACATACAGAAAAGTAGAGGTGATGTCACTCAAAAAATAAAAAAAAAAACTAACTTTTAACAGTGTTGCTAAAATATATTTCAACAGCAAATTTGATCTAAACTATGAATGCATCCCCATCCCTCATCCTAAGAAATCTTGACATGCTCTTTTTTTTTTTTTTGGTACTAGTTTTTACCGTTATTTATGCGAATGGATCAATTCTAACTAATAACGACAAACTCTTAAGCAGCAATTGAAGCTTTTAGATTCAGCTGGGATGCGAAGAAAGAAAATAAAAACACAACAAAGAAGGTTCCGCCAATAGATCATGCCAAGGGAGATGCATGGTACAATGCCTGTCGATTGATGAACGTATCAATATTGTTTTTTGAACAGCTCGGGAATAACTATGATCTTACTATTGACTTGCTACATGCAACTTTTGAAAGTTTTATTTGGTTGAGGTTCATCCATTTTTGCTTCTAATCACATATGGATCATATATTTGTTCTTTTTTTATTTGATAAATATGTATTTGTTCATTTTTAATTAGTGATATGATTTATATGGATTATATATTTGTTCTTTTTTTTATTTGATAAATATGTATTTGTTCATTTTTAATTAGTGATATGATTTATATTTTATATGTTAAATTAAAGATATGATGTTATATCACCAGATTCACCCTTCATGCAACCATTTTGATGAAGTGTCTCATTTGTTGCACATTATCTATTGAGAGAATAGTAATGTCACCAAATTCCACTATCAAATTTCAAATTCTATCTAATATATCAATATATTGTTTTGTTCTCTAATTTTTTTAATTTATTTCATTTTTTTTTTTAGTGAATTTTTTTATGTAAATATTTTATTTTTTATATACACTTAAAAAGTATAATATTCGTGAGACAAAAAGAATTTTTAAAAAAATCACCAAATATGAAAAAATATATATAAAAATTCAATACATTTTCGTATTTTGTTTTTTTCTATGAATTTTTTTAAAGATTTTTGTATAAATTTGTACCTTTTAAAGTAAATCAAGATTAAGTGAATCTAAAAATAAAAAATAAAAATTTGATTAAATTACTTTTAAAAATCACTAAAACTATAAAAATACGAATTAAAAACTCAAAAAATTATTTTTAAAAACTTCAAACCAAACAGTGTCAAGAAATGTAGATGGCTTGTGGAGATGATTTTTATATATTTACGTTTAGTTTAATTTCCTAAACAAAAAAAGAAGGCAAATGAAAGGAACCCACCTTCCACTTTTTCTTGACGGCCTCATAATCAAGCCTCTCTAATTCAAATCATTCAAAATGTCTTTGATATCGAAAAATAAATATCACTTGAATCACCAGTGTTATTTCAACATGATTGTAATGCTTACAAAGAAACCAATGTATAGAAACCAGTTTGTTCATCTCAAATTAAACTCTAAATTCTAAATTTATCAGATAACAAACACAAATGATCAATTTCCTAAATGGTTAATTTAGTACAAATTTATTTGGTGGATGACCAATCAGTTAAGAATGTAGAATCAACTTTTTTGCGACTAATCGAATACCAGCATTCTGTTGATAGTCATATGCGTCCAAGGAGAAGTACGCATCCACAGACGTTCCTGGAGTGAACAAAGCATTGAGTTCTGCAACATCAAATCTACTAAACACGAGCCTCTGTGGGGTGGTGGAAGACTCTTTCTCGTATATCTCTGTGACCCATCTCACAATGTTCCCATCTGCTACGGTAGGTATGCTGGAGAAATTGCAGAGGAAAAGGGGAGATTGTGAAATTTCAGTTAACAGCAAGTATAAGAGTCATGTAATCAGCCACTAATGTTTCGTTTGTTTGTAAACACAATAGCTAAAGGGAACGAAGACTTGAATCGTAACTCCTTTTCCAACTTGAAGTTGCCAGAAGATTCCAAAATTTCTTCACATTTTTCCCATCTCAACTAGATAAAAGCATGAAACAGATTCAAACATATACTGGCAAACAATGGGGGGAAAAGCATTCCATTTTTAAAAACATAGACAATTTTTTTTCCTTACTAAAAAAATGAATAAACACGGAGATAATGCATCAGCGGTGTGTCAGAAACATGTCAACCTCCTTCGGACAACTGTCCTATATTTCTATTCAATTTTGTAATACATATACTACCATATTCTATAGAGAAAATGCATACCACATTTGTTAAAATTGACATACAAAAAAACAAATATGTTGCTTGAACATTTCAGATGCAATGAAATAAAACTGTGCTTAACATGTTATGGTATTCTGAATTTTGAGCCATTTATTCTGCGTATAAATAGAGCAAAAGAAAGAAAAACTTACTGCAATCGCACTGTAGGTGAGTTTGAGAAGCCACCCTTTCTGCTCACTACAGGCCTCCACTCGGAACTGCTACCAGAATCCATGGACAATCTGTGTGCAAGTCCATCACATGCATCCAAAACCTGACAAAGGCTTGGAGTTGCACCTACAACAAAACTCAACCGTGGCCGGCCAGAAGAATCAACAAATTTTGTGCTTATCCCAAAGCGCACTTTCAAGTGAGTACAGCAAAGCTGCAGTGTGTTATCTTTGTGCAACATTTGTATTCTGTGAGTTCCATGATAAAATGGGGCAAGAGATACATTGACAGAAGGTATAGAAACTTTATCAGGCTCTAGGAAGTCTGCATAGCCACTGGAGAAATCAGGTTTAGTTGCGGTAGAAGACTCGGGCAGCCCTGAACCAGATTCTTCGTCCATGGCCTCAACTGATTGAAGGTCTTTTCTCTCCACTTCATCACTCAGTGGGCCCATGTCAAAAGGATCTGGATGAGCTGTACTGGATTCAGCATGATCAGGAAGCTTGTGCCTTGTGTTGGGAGTTGTCAGGGATTGTATTGGATGATTTCCCTCTATTGTTTGATTTGTAGGAGACAATCTCTGGTGATTTTCAATTTGGGCACTTGCTGAGGATGTATTCGTGTTCATGACCATTCCATCAGGAGAAGCTTTCTCATTACTACGACTTCTTGTAGTAGTGTTTGGATAAACCCAACTGTTTCCCGCAAGTATGTCTGGAAGGCTCGACTCCTACATGTATAGCCAGGAAGTAAATACAAAGAAAGTGACCAATTGTCTAAGTTATACCGTCCAACAAACATAGCAAGCAATTGTACAATGAGCTAGGGCACAAAACATGATATTTCACAAGGTTTCACAACATTGTCTAGCTCTGTCACAAGACATGTCAAATTGACTCTGGGCTAAACATGATGATGCTTGCTTCAGTAAAAAGGCAGCTTTAAACTTGACCAAGTAAATGTTTACCAAGAATAAGACTGTTGCACAGTACTTGAGAACTTCAAGATTCATCCGAACATCATCTAAACTCCTGAAAATCAACATATAGAAGATTCATCAAACCTTAGGGTTAAGTTTTATTAAAAGCCTACATTTTTCAGAGGCTCACAATTCCTTATAACAAAAACATCGTTCAGACCATTATTGCATGTTTATTCTATATCTCCAAATCCACTCACTCCAAATCAGTTATATCTATCTAGACAACTCTGGAGCATATGAGGAATCACACAGATGAAACCAATTTGAGATTTGGAAATTCTGATTGCATGGTTCCCAAGTGAACAACCTTGGAGACTTTAAAAAAAAAAGGCATAGAGAAGAAAAGAAAAGAGAAAAAACTCAAGCTTACAAAAGAAGTTATAACATCAACAAATACTACTATTAACTATAGTCGAAGTTGAAGTCGAAGTTGAGGAGAAAATGGCAGGGGGATGGGAAGGAAAAATACCTGTGTGTTTGCTGTCCAAGCCCAAAGTAATTCGCAAGTGTGGCCATCTGTATAAAAGTATAACATATGGTTGTATTAGCATTCAAAAGTTTACACCAACCAAATGCCTAAAATATAAAGCTAGTCTCATAAACCATTGTATCTGCAACATTATCACATAACAAACTCATGGATTAGCTTTGAAAACAAATATTCAGAAATAAAAAGAACAATGGAAACATGTGATCAGAACTCATCTTAACAGAGCATTAGACCCAATACGGGTGTCAGGTATGGGTAATTACCAAACTACAACCCACCTCTATATTTACAATTACCTCAATTGACATTTTCACAATTCCTAATTCATACTTAACCCAATTACCAAACTACAACCCACCTCTATATTTATTATCTCATATGGGTCATGTTAAATGAGTGCCCTAAAAACATCTCCAATCCTTCATCAATTTTTTTCATCAAATTTAAATTTAATAAAAAAAATGACTAAAAATGTGCTCCAACCATTTCATCAAATCAAGGAAGATGCAATTTTTTCACAAAATCAAATGAAGAGCTAAATACTTTACCAAATTTCTAACAATTACATTTTTACTCAAATTAATGAAATTTTAAAAAAAGTAAGCATTGAAGATGGTTTTCTTTCATCAAAAGTGGATAAAACATATTTTTATGATAAGTTTAGAATTTTTCAAAAAGATTTGTGGAAAAATGAGAGTAAGGACTGGAGTCTTCCTATCAAATCAAACTTTTAACGATTTTTTTCACTCAAATTTGATTTACAAAATAAAATCAATAAAAAGAAAGAAATAAAAAGTTAAGGATTGAAAATGCTTTAAGGATGTTAGTTAACAATGCTTTGAATCTTTGAACATTATTTAATGTAAGACATTCAAAAATAATGTAAAACTATTTCAAGCTCCTTAATAACTACCACTTGTTAACAAAATCCTTTATATATACTGCTTTTTGTTTGTTGCAAATTATAATCCTTTCTTATATATATATATATATATTTTTTTTTTTGGAGAGAGTTTGTTCAAGAATGTTTGGTGTAACATTTGTTTATAACTTGTGATGCAAAAAAACTTAAATAAACTAAAAATAATTAACTATCTTCAAGCTGAATAGTGAACCTGTTTGGTGCAACTTATTGTAGAAGCCAAAAGCATCTTTCCTCATATTCCAAATACATAACAACTTATTTAAGCTATTTCTACCTACTAAATTACAAACAGAAGTTGCACCAAATACTCTCAAAATTTGGAAGGGAAAAAAAAAAAATTATAAACAGTAAGATATACCAAATAACTTCAATATTCGAAGCTTCTAATTATTCTAGAGAACAGCTGCACCCAAATGGTCTAATTGTTTTCATGGTGTAAAAAGGCACAATAATTTGTGTCAATTTAGAAAGAGATATACCTTCATGTCACCAGCTCTCCTACCAAACCTCTGAGTCAACACAGCCAATGAATCAATGGTGCCCTTGGGCTCCGGCGGCAGACGATTAATCTCTGCAAACGCCTCCCGAATCCGGGGACAATCGAACCTCAGTATATTATGACCCGCCCATATCCTCCCTATAAACACCAACCAAAACACCCAATCAAATCTCAAATTTCTAAAAACCCACAAAAATCAATTATTCATGTCCACTATTGAAAAGAATTTTTGTTTGAACAGTTCCAAAAATATCAATCAAATCTCAAAATTCCAAAACCCCGCAAAAATCAACTATTCATATCCACTTTTGAACAGAATTTTTGTTTGAACAATTCCAAAAAAGCAATCATCAAATATCAAAATTCAAAAAACCCATAAAAATCAATTATTCATATCAACTACAATTTTTGTTCGAACAATTCAAAAAAAGAGAGAAAAAAAAAGCATCAATCAAATCTCAAAATTCAAAAAACTCACAAAAATTCAAAACACAAAAATCAATTATCAATTATTCATATCCACTATTGGGTGGTGGAGCGGTGATTGGAAAGGTCTCCATCACTCCTCATTCCAAAAACATCAATCAAATCTCAAAATTCCAAAAACCCACAAAAATCAACTATTCATATCCACTTTTGAACAGAATTTTTGTTTGAGCAATTCCAAAAAAATCAATCATCAAATCTCAAAATTCAAAAAACCCATAAAAATCAATTATTCATATCAACTACAATTTTTGTTCGAACAATTCAAAAAAAGAGAGAAAAAAAAAGCATCAATCAAATCTCAAAATTCAAAAAACTCACAAAAATTCAAAACACAAAAATCAATTATCAATTATTCATATCCACTATTGAACACAATTTGTGTTCGAACAATTCCCAACAAAAAAAAAAAATCAATCAAATCTCAAAATTCCAAAAACCCACAAGCATTCAAAACAATATACATAGAGAGATAGAGACAAAGACCGTGAAGAAGGTCGTAGACCCTATCGGCGATTTGGGCGAAATTGGGTGCCGAAACGACGGCGTCCTTGGTAATGCCGTTACATCGAACCGACAAGGGGGTGATGAGAGAGAGGTCGGCGGGTCGGACCAGGGCGGAGTAGTTGTCGAGCTCCACGAGCTTCCTGGGGCAAACCAGTATGGCTCCGAATTCGAGTAAGGCGTATCCTTGGCCGGCTCGGGTCGGAATTGTGGTCTCCACGTCGAAAAATACTATCTCCGACCGGTCAACAGCTGAAACCATGGCTCACGGCGAGTCTGAAGAGAGAGAAAGTTGGGTAGAGAGAGAGAGAGAGAGAGGGTGATGCAAAATCGATATGTATGTATGTATGTATGTTTGTGCGTGTGTATGTATATATGTATGTATCGTGTGTAGAGGTTTTGGGGGAGTTGGCTTGGAAATAGAGGCTTTGGTATTTGGAGAAGAGTGATACAGACGGAAGAAGATAAGATACGTGCCAAATGATGCACACGTAAGAAGAAAGCGTGTTGTTTGTTATTTTTGTGCCCCCATTTTGATAATGAAAATGATAAGCAATTTAAATTTGAATTTGTCCGAATTGTTTAAATTTATGCATATATTGAATGATTATTTAAATGATCCGTGTTACATTTTTCTATCGTAATGGTTATTATTATAAATCGCGACTGTCACTTGATCTATCGTAGTTGCTATTTTTATAGATCGTGACTGTCATTTTGTTATCAGATGATCGATCGAACAATTAACAAACCAAAATTCAAACGATTTGGACAAATCCTATTTCGAGCTACCAATTATCTCTCTTTTGATAATCATGTGTATTTATTTTCTTTTAAATTAATAAGAATGAAAAAGAAAATAAAAATTGGCATGTTTTTTTTTTCAAAATTAATGATCCAATCTTTAATCAAAATTATGCATAAGTTGAAGTTGAGGTTCTATCCATGAGATTTTGGGTGTGTTTGGTTTAGCTTTTAGAGAGGAGTTTTGGAAAAAAAATTTCAAAAAATTGTTTGGCTTGAGATTTTTTATAAAAAATTTCCAAAATCACTCTCTCTCTTATATATCAATCAATCATTTTTTCTCTCTCCTCTCTCATTCTCAATCATTTTTTCTCTTATAAATATCTATTCAATTATAACAAAATATCAAATCATCATAAACTCCCAAACTCTAAAACTACTTTCAAAAAATACAACCAAATAAACTAAAAAAAATTCTAAACTCTCTCCCCAAAACTTTTTTTGAAAATCACTCTCCAAAAGCAAACCAAACACACCCTTAAACTTTTAAAAGTGTAAATCCACTTTTTATATTGTTGTTTATTTTTTAAAAAAGTCACTAATTCAGATTTATGGTACCAGAATTTACCATTTGTGTAATGGAGATCAAATTATTAAAGTGTAAAGTTTATGAGTGAAATAAATTTAAAACGTTTATTATTTCTGGATAAATTTTTGATAAAAATTTATGAGTTTATAATCCCGCTTTATTTTTTTAGCTTTAGAATTAGCGCAATTGATCAAGAGATAAACTTGAGTAAGGATTCAAATCCTCGTAATTGAATCATTGACTAACTGCTAGTGTAACAACTACTAAGGATGACTACCCTTTAGTTAGAGATTTTTTTGTTAATACTTTTTACTTAATTTATCCTTATGCAATCAGAAATGTGACCACCCATCATGTATGTCCCTCACAAGAGGTTTTTCATCCCTTCTAAGAACGCCCACAATGATTCTCTCTAAAATCATCTTATTAAGAATATCAACAGCGATTTTCTCTAAGATCATCTCTTATGAACATAGAATGTCAATCAGGTAGATCTAGTTAGCTATGAATCAAACCATTAATACTTTTAGGTACATGCTAAGACTACACCTTGTAGATTTAACTGTGATATTCCACTTGCTTAATTGGGAAGCAACTGACTTTCCAAACTTTGCTATCTTATATTTTTCATCTTTTGTCTTTTTATTTTGTTATGTTGCAAGGGAGATTCCAAATCATTATCTTCAAATAGTAATGATACATTCTTCATTTTGGACCTCTAGTTTTAGATCCCCAATGACATAGTGAATATTGATTGAATAATTTTTAAATTTTAATAAGATTTTTAAGTGATGTAACTTATGACATATCACTTAGCGTTGATTTGGGAGTTTAAAATTAAGGGCAAATTACACTAACAGTCCTTATAGTTTGGGTTTTGTGTCACTTTAGTTCCTGACTTTTCAATTATGACACATTTGACTCTAAATTTTGAATTTTGTTCCAAATAAGGACAATTGAAAATACCATTGTTTAATTTCAAGGGTAAAATCGTCAATTTAATGAAATATAAACTAATTTGACAAAAATAAATTTCAAAAAAATATTTTTAATTTTTTAAAAATTATTTCTATGCACTAAAGAAAAAATTATGTAAAATTAATAAAAATTACATGATTAATTTTTAAAAATTAATTTTACATAATCATCATCCAAACACATAATAAAAATTAATTTGATAAAATAAATAAATAAATGTCTAAAACATTTATTAAATTTACATAATTTTATCTTTAGTGGGTACAAATAATTTTTAAAAATTTAAAAATATTTTTTTGACATTTATTTTTGTCAAATTAGTTTATATTTTATCAAATTGACAATTTTACCCTTGAAAAATCTAATGATAGTGTCACAATTAAAAAGTCAGGAACTAAAATGACACAAGTCTCAAACTATCGAGACTATTAGTGTAATTCACCCTAAAATTAAAGTTCTATAACATTTTTCATTTCAAAATTTCAAACTAGTAAGACATGCTTTAAATTTTTGTGGTTCTTATGACGGAATTCCACTTTCTTAAAAGTGTTGTATGTTTGTGGGGTCTTTTGTTGATATTTGTCCGACAACTATAGGTTTGGCGCAAGTGTTGATTTCTCTTTGAATATTTCCTTCGTATTGTAATGAGTCTTCTATTAGAAAATAGAGAAATTTCACTGTTTGAAAATAGTAAATTCATATATTTTAGAGTAGGGTGTTAATTTTGTAATTTTGGAGCATTTAATTTGAAATTTTTAGGTATCTAAATTTTGCAATCACCGCAAGTGACATTTTACAATCTATGGTGTTTTTCAGCCCTCATATATGTTATTTTTAGCTCCTAAATTTGAAATTAATAACCTTTTTTTTTTTTTTTTGCAGTTAACAATTTTGCATTTTTTACCTTGAATTGAAAATATTGAAATTTCACCATCTTTCGATGACAATGAAATTTCATTGTTTAATAACAATAGAGATAGTGAAAACTTGTGATTTTTCTTATAACTTCATACTCATTAATTGATAAATCTTGATAAGAAGATTTTAAAAATAAAAATTTTATATAATAAAAAAAACCCAAAAATGTATTTAAAAAGTTATAAGTTTTTAAGTTTTGAAATCATTTTAAAAGTAAAGACCCTAACTACTAAACGCTTAGCTGGGGGTCTTTGAAATATTGCAAGATTGGAGCTAAGAAACATTTTTTGTGTCCTTAATACTAATATAATCTTATAATTAGGGAGGTATGGCCAAAGCATCTTTTTTTGGTTGAGAAAATCTTCAAAAAAAATATATATTTCCAAGGATCTCAATGCACTACAACAAAAACATACTTTAGTGGCACTACACTAGTGGCATATTTTTGGAAAATGCCACAAAAAATGATATTTAGTGGCACGTTTTTGAAAAATGTCAGAAAACGACAAACATAAAAGGTTCTAGTGACATTTCAATGAACAAGTGTCACAAAACTACAACTAAAAAACAATTAGTAGCCAAAAGTATAGAATTGGCGACTAAAAAATATTTTTAGTCGCCAAAAGTGGTCTTTTTTTATTTTGGTAGTAAATAGTTTATTTTACATAAATTATGTTCAATAAAATAATTATGTTTATACATATACTTTTATATTAATATGGATGTATGTACTATATAAATAATATATGTTGCATATATAATCATGTGGTGCTATAGAGGTGTAGTGGGAAGAGTGTGGTGTATAAGATTTATGATGCGGAAGGTTGGCGGTTCGAGTCTCCGCAAGAGCGGATCAAATTGTTCTACAACGAATTATCGTCATGAATGGCACTTGATAGCGTCATGAATAGTGCCTACCATGACACTAAAGTATCACTGAAAGGTTTTAGTCTTGATGGTGTAATGATACTTACAAGTGTCACTAACTCTTTTTTTAATGGCGCTTGATAGTGCCACAAATAATATCTACCATGGCATTAAAATGTCATTGAAAGTTTTCAGCCATGATGGTGCAGTGGCACTTGTAAGTATCTACCGTGGCACCGATAGAAGTGGCACTTGTTCCAAATGCCACAAGACCAAAAAATGTCATTAGAAGAATAGTTTTGTGGCACTTTCAAATGTCACTAAACTAAAAAAATGGTGTAGTGATGCCATGCAAACTATTAAAATTTTCGTAATTCTCCTATAGCAAAGTTTAGGTTTAGGTTTAGGTTTCTTTCGTAAATTTATAAGTGCAATCAAAGCCTTTTTTTCTTTGCATTTTTTTACTTTTAAGTTGGATTTAAATTATAACAATAAGATTGTAACGGTGATATCACGTTATCATGTATACGTATTGATAAATTCAATGTATGAAGAGAGAAATACAGAATAAATGTATCTATTGATATTATTGATTGATTGTATTGATTGTTGTACATTTTGTATATTACAAGGATGTATTATATAGGAGAGGTTTTGGGAGTAGGTGAGGTAGGTGAGTGGTGGTAGTGGATGTGGTAGGTGGAGTGGTGATTTATTATTTACAATTTACATTAACACGTATCACTAATCAATAACATGTTACTACCTATTTATAGTGGCTGAGTCAAGAAATTAAATCATATGGGGCACTTATTAATTATAACGTTAACATTGAAAATTTTTACGAAAATATTTCACATAATTTTTTACGATTGACTAGTATATCATGGACAATATAAATTTTTATGATTAACTAGTATATCATGAACAATATAAAAAAAAAAAAGTCACGGATATAAGTTTTAAAATAAATTATATAATGATAAAGTAATTTTTTATACAAAATTTCAGTAAAAATTCAATATAATAGTAATACTGCGTCATTATTGACATATGATATCACCAAGCAATAGTAAAGAAATACATAGAGGATGAACCTCACATGTCAAATGTAACTAACAATTCAATAAATTTCATTCATTGAGATTAATTATAATTGTATGTCAATAATGATAGACACCACCATTGTATTGAAATTTTCATAGACATCGTAATATCTTTATTTTCAATATAAAAAAAAAAAAATCAACCATTATTATTCTCATAATTTTAAAAACGTCATTAATATTTCACTCTAAATAATATTTTATAATTTTTTTATTTAAAATATTTTCTTTATGTTTGAAAAAAAAAATTAT